AGCAGGAATTATAAAATCGAGAACCGTTTAAGAGTAATTTGCTCTTTTTCAGACTGTAAATCAAGACCGTTGATTAGGTGGATCACATTTGAACGTTCAATCCTCAATCTTGTTCTAAGTCTAACCACATAACATGTCCCACTATCTAACAAGACAACATTCCTTATCATGTAGTTCTCATAAACAATTGATTGAGGATTATTAGAATAGTATGTATGTGGCATGGTTTGGTTTTTACCAGCGGCGTTGGCGGAGTGAATGCAGGCCAAGCTTATCAGTGATCTCAGAAACACTCATGGAATTTGGAAGATCTTGCTTGTTGGCAAACACAAGCAGTGTCGCTTCACGGAGTTCATCCTGTAGCAACAAAGAAGAACATTTGTATAATGCAAAATTGTTCTGATGATAATTTGTAGAAGAAACTGTAAGGAACTGACCTCACTAAGCATTCGGTGGAGCTCATCTCTGGCTTCTGAAACCCTGTCTCTATCATTGCTATCCACCACAAAGATAAGACCCTGAGTGTTCTGAAAATAGTGTCTCCATAGTGGCCGAATCTACACATAGCACATGATAATCAAGATCAAGTTCCCATTAAGCTTAAGTAACCCCCACAAACTTTGTTAAGTTTTCAGTGTTTAATTAAAAAGAAACTAAGATAGAACTAGTTTAGAGAATCAAAGTTAGTACCTTGTCTTGTCCTCCTACATCCCAGACAGTGAAGCTTACATTTTTGTATTCAACAGTTTCCACATTGAACCCTGGTCACAGAAGAAAAATCAATCAAAAGTTCAAAGCAGAATTGCTTAATTCCAATTTGAATAGGTACATATCAAGTTCAAGAAAAAAGATGAAGCAAAAATTCGGGGTAATCGATTCGAAGTGGATACCAATTGTGGGAATGGTTGTGACAACCTCTCCAAGTTTGAGCTTGTAGAGGATGGTGGTTTTTCCAGCAGCATCAAGACCCACCATTAGTATTCTCATTTCTTTCCTTGCAAAGAGCATCTTCACCATCCTAGATATTGCCATACCCATTGCTGCTAACTGGTTCAATCAAAAGGGCAGTTGAACAATAAAGGATCAATAAAAGAAAAAGAAAAACCCTTTAATCAATACACGAGGAAGAAATTGGAGGGTTGAATTACCAGAGCAGAAAATCAGAGGAGAAAGAAAAGGTGTGGTGATTCAAGAGATGATAAGCAGAGGGAAGCAAAAGGAAATATATTTTGCTTGTGTTATATAACAAATAATGAAATGTATGGCAAGTGGCAGAAAAGGAAAGAAAGGGGCAAGAGAATTGGATTCTGATGAAGATTAGAGAAGAATAAGGAACAATTGCTTTAACTTGTTTGACAAGAATTTCATGCCACAGCCCACAGCTGTGTTGGGATGGGAATGGCTGTGATATCTACAGGTTGCAAGTTGGCGGGAAAAAAAGAATGTTAATAGGATAGAACCTGCTCATCAAACATCCACCGTTTAGGATTATACCTAGAGGAATAATCCGAGGATGGAAGATTGCTTTGCCTCCTTATATAGCAGTAAAATAATATATATATATATATATATATATATTTGCTGCAACAAGAGTAATTATATAGAGGTGAACAAGAAAGAACAACTTAAGTGGGGAACACATGGCGTGTTTTAACTGAAGGATACTTGTCATTCAACCTATCACCTGACTTGACCTGTGTACCGGGGGAGAAAAACTAGAGAAGACTTGATAGGTTCTAGGTTTTAATTGGATGATATATGTCACTCAACCTGGCACGTAACTTGACTTATTTGTCGTGAAAGACAAACTTAAGTAGATAACACATGACATATTTTAATTGGACAATACATGTCACTCAACCTGTTACGTGACAAGAAAGTCCTCGCTAATGATTTTCTATGTCATTATTCACCTTGCATATGACACCCAAGAATCTCTCCATGGTGATAGGTAATGGGGTATTGGGATGGTGTGCTAGAGTTCATGTACTCCACAAATCTCAACGCATTTTCACGTTTTAAATAATTACCATAAACGCTAATGCATCAATATTGAACAATTACATAACAGTTATTGGAAGATTGTATTTGATCCAAAATTTATAACATAAAAGTATTAATACGTGTTTTCTATGCAATGCATAAGCTTCCAAGCAGAGTAGCAAGTTTCTACCAGCCTAAAACTAAGGCAATGTGGGAAAATGAAAACCATATAATCCAGCCACAGAAAAGCCGATCCAAACAAGAACATCATACATGCATGTATATCATAACATGCCTATCCAAATGAAATATTTGCATTTCTTTCTGCAAATGGCAAATAAAAACTTAACAAAACAAACTACAGTTACATTTTTTTCCAATAAATGCTCGTAGGCAATGCTCATGACAAGGTCCGAAAAGTAATGTTGCTATTCGTGTTTGGAGATAGCATCCTTGGCGGACTGAAGGGTAGTTGCCACAGCAGCGGCAGCACCGGTCAAGACACCGCCGCTGGTATTTGTTTTCGCAGAGGGATGTGGCTGGTGAACCACTTGCACATTTCTCTGTTCATGGCCTTGCTGCCCCGCCGATGACCGGACGTCTACTGTGTTCACCTTTGTCTCTTTGGGGCTTTCTGCATTTGTGTCCTTCATTTCCTGTATGAATTTCACAAAGTTTGATATACAAAACGAAGGAATACGATGAAGAAGAAAAAAAAACGTGAAACTAGAGATGGAGATTGGGGAAGATACCTTGATGGCTTGTGCATTCATTTTGGAGGTGATCAAATAACTCAAAAAACTTCTTTCGGGGAGATGAATTATTTAAAATTTATCTATCGTAGTTTTTGGTGTTGTTTTACATAGTCTTTCAAAGGAGATTATTTAGCCGAAGGAGCAGGACCCTTGGCATCCACAAGTTAACCATTTTTAGATCTTAGAACCATTTTGTTCCTTCTTTTACTAGATAAATCGAAGGGCTCTTATGTACCCAAAAAAAAATGTTTTTCTTTCAGCACCAAAAAAACAACGGGTAAACATTGCATTAGAACGACGGCTAAAACAACTAGCACAAAATCCCTGCAGCTGAAATGAAAATATTTCATTCATATACCTTCTAGCTTACAACACAAAAAGCATGAGACTGCTCTCAGTCCAACAAGGCATGAATAATATCCCATGTCCCTACCATTAATTGTTGAACTACATTTTGACATATATATAAAAAAAAAATAGGATAAGAAATATATCGGTAAGAAGTTCAATGGAAGACTCTTTTAAGAAAGATGGAACTGAGAGAATGTATCAGTAAGTCATAAGGGGTGACCCACTACAATGGACATCAGAAGCATCAGAAATCCTTTGCTTGGGAGATAATGTTGTGATGGCAGCAGCATCAACATCAAGATTGAGATAAGTTTTCCTCTTTTGAGTCTCTGAGCTAACCTTCTCCTCGGAAAGCTCTGCAATCGGACTCAACAGGTCTGCTTCCTTTGAGGGGCGGGATAACATGGCTTGAGCATCTGCTACCACCGATGCATCATCTTCAGTAGCATAAAGAATCTTCTGTATAGCAGCAACAACCTGCATAAAGAATTGAAACGGTAAATTGTCATTTGTTCTTTTTGTAGTCGTCATTCTGAAAACAAAGAGTGAAAATACAGTACATTTAAGTGCTCAATCTCAGGATTCTGGCAAAGTATCTCAATATCCCGGAGCTTTGCAAAGTAGAAATCCCTCTCCTTTTCAAGGCTATCCACTGAAAGTTTCAACTCCGTGATCTGCATTGAAACAAGTATTAGACTACTCTAAATTCATTAACAGAATTCTCACTCCTGCACCACTGACTAAAAGTACCTGTTCGTCATATACAGGGGGAGCAGGGCCTCCACTAGAAGCAGGTCTCGAGGTCTTCCCGGATTGACTTGTAGAGTTCACAGAAGGTGGTACATCATTTCTTCGAGCAGTGTGGGAGGAGTGAGATCTTTGGGAAGCTGCTGCACCCTTGGCTGATGTTTGTGATTGGGCACCTCTTTTGTGTGCTTCTTTCCCACCTTTGCAAGCATCTCTCCTTTCTAGAGCATTGTAACTGACGATGATAATAAAGTATATATATCAGAGAATACAAATTAACATTTATTTTTCAGCTGAAAGGCCATACAACCTATCCAAAGAATGAATAATTTTTTGTTAAAGTAGGCAGCAAAAAAGGAACACTGCTTATAATTGACAAGTGCACACTTGAGCCTAATTATTTCACCCATTCTATTTTGAACATCATCTACATAGAAGCTCATATTGCACAAAACTCATAAGATTTATTACAAAAAGATCCGACTTTAACCCATCAATGGTGACCGGACAACATCATGTTGTGCACAATGGAGTAAATAAAACTCCATGGCACTACCAAACAACAGCAATGTGCTTGCAAACACAAGTCAAACGAGTGAGCATAACTATAAAAGACTTGTGAATTTTGATTCCAACAGAGGCAGCGAATTGGATCAAAAGGGAAGTTCGACAAGTATTTGCATTGTGCATCTCAGCATGGAAGAACCCAAATCGATTTAAAAATTATTCAGCAAGCCTAAAGATAACGACAAAGAGTTGGTAATTCAAATCATACCAAAATGTCATTTTAAGTCCACATATAATAGGAAAAGGAAAACATGAGAAATTCAGTTAGTAAATGAAGGATTAACAAAAACAGAATTAGGGGTAGAACTTACGTGTTCATGCTGCCTCCATTGACGGAATCACAGTATCGCTTCATCCATTGCATGAACTCCAAATTATCCAGCGGCCTTCCTTTCACAAGCTTGCTCACCTCAATGTGCTAAAAACCCCAAACACAAACACACAGAGCAAGACCCAAAAAAATGTAAAGAGACAGAAATTATTTAATTAAGTTTTATAACAGAAGTTAGAGAAAACTTGCAGATCCACATAACATCCGATTAAATTTAAAAAGGAAATGCAATTAATCACAGTTAGAGATAGACCTTGGTGATTTTGAGTTTGTTAAAGACGTCCTGAAGGACCTTGTAGTTCTGAATCATCTCATACTCGCTCTTGGCATCAAAGTTCACCTTGTGCATGGGCACCATACCGTTATGAACCGCATCCATGAGCTGGCATTGAACCGCACCGGAACACGCCTGAGAAGCACAGATCGGAAAAAATCGAATAAGAAAACAGTAATTCGAAAAGTAAAGGTTAGGGTTAGGGTTCGGAGGAAAAAACCTCTTCGACTTTGTTGAGATTGAGATGCAGAGTGGAGTTGATCCAGGCCAAGATCTCAGATCTGCCTACGAAGTAAGCCCCATCCATCATTCCGATATTCGTTGCCATTTTCGGATTATCTCCGTGCGTCTGAGATTTCGGCGATTTCTCTGTCTTAAGCCCTCTGCGTCTCTGAAGAGGAAGAGACGAAGACTTCAATGTCTGAATGTGAGGCAGAGAGAGAGAGAGAGAGAGAGGGTGGAATTTAAAAATGGGAGGGATTTTGAGGGGAGCGGGATATTTTTAAATTCAAAAGTTATTGTCGGACCAAACCGCTTTTTCTGGATACTGGATATTTGGGCTTTTCTACAATGGAAGTCCAGCCCAATATTCAGGATATCCTACTAATTAAGGCTCGTTTGATTCGCGAAATGAAATTCTCATGTTGAGTCCTATAAAATATAAATGAAATATTTTAATTCCCTTTTTTGGGAACGTTTGGAAAAATGCATAATGAGATACTATTTTTTCCCATTCATATTAAAAAAATTTACAATGCCCTTACATTTTTATTTTAAATTATTAATATTAGAATGGCCAAAAGTGGTATTTGAAATTTAGAACATGGGTACCAAAAAAGTGCACTGAAATTCCCTAATACTTAGAGCATCCACAATGGGCTCCCTAAACCACCTCCTTAGACAAATTTTAAAGAGGAATTGTAAAAATGCAACTCCAACCATGCTCTCTCTCCACCTCCTAAAATAGAGAGTCCTTTAGGAGCTCTTAAATCTGAGGAAAGAGAAATGATTCCTAGTGGCTCCCTATAATTTAATGCTGCTTTATTTAATGAGTATTTCAAACCTTTATTTAATGCTAACTATTTTTTGTTTTATTTTTTAATAGAGATGGACCAATCAAAAAAGAGTTATAACATTTATGACTCTCCAAATTAGGGAGTATGGTTGGAGTTGAAATTTTTTAAAGAGCTCCTAAAATAGCTTTCTTATATTTTTAGCTAAATTTTAGCTAAGAAATAGAGAGCATCATTGTGGATACTTTTAGAGCATCCACAATGGGCTCCCTAAACCACCTCATTAGATAAATTTTAAAAAGGAATTGTAAAAATGCAACTCCAACCATGCTCCCTATCAACCTCCTAAAATAGGGAGTCCTCTAGGAGCTCTTAAATATGAGGAGAGAGAAATAATTCCTAGTGGCTCCCTATAATTTAATGCTGTTTATTTAATGAGTATTTCAAACCTTTATTTAATGCTAACTATTTTTTATTTTATTTTTTAATAGAGATGGACCAATCAAAATAGAGTTATAATATTTATGACTCTCCAAATTAGGGAGTCTGGTTGAAGTTGAAATTTTTTAAAGAGCTCCTAAAATAGCTTTCTTATATTTTTAGCTAAATTTTAGCTAAGAAATAGAAAGCATCAACAATGGGCTCCCTAAACCACCTCCTTAGATAAATTTTAGGGAGGAATTGTGAAAATGCAACTCCAACCATGCTCTATATACACCTCCTAAAATAGGAAGTCCTCTAGGAGCTCTTAAATCTGAGAAGAGAGAAAGAATTTCTAGTGGCTCCATATCATTTAATAAGTATTTCAAACCTTTATTTAATGCTAACTATTTTTTATTTTATTTTTTAATAGAGATGGACCAATCAAAAAAAAGTTATAGCATTTATGACTCCAAATTAGGAAGTATGGTTGGAGTTGAAATTTTTTAAAGATCTCCTAAAATAGCTTTCTTATATTGTAAGCTAAATTTTAGTTAAAAAATAGAGAGCACCATTGTGGATGCCCTTACCAAACATGAGAATATAATCTCATACTCACTCTCAAGTTTCTGAAAATAGAGAGCACACGAGTCCTAATCATTCTTCGTCGTTATGAGATAAAATCAACCATCAATGAAAATGAAGCACGAAGACATACATCTGTGTAATATGGTTGTCGCTGATAGCTCATACGCAAGCCACCATCAATTAAGGAAGTATTTCATCAACATCAACACACCTAATCAATTGACCCAACAAACTTAATGTGCAGTCTCTGTTGACTATGGAACATTATTATTAGCCAATCAACATTTGAACCAGCTACAAGGACCAGTCTCCAAAGAAAAAAAAAACAGATGGATTCATGCTGAAAAAAGAAAAAAAAAATTGGGAAGGTTATCAGTCAATCATACATAGATACAGCTCTCTACAAATTAAAAGGGTACAAAACATGTCATTAGTGGCCATAATAATATGATGATGACGACGATGATGATGAAGATGGGAATTTCTCAAGGACTTGCAGGGCTTCTTTCATTGCTGGTCTCTTTTGTGGGACAGGTGAGGCACAATTGTACCCTAACTTGAAGCAGGCCAACAAGGCCTCCTCTTTGCCCTCCAACTCAGCCCTAATTGCCATATCTGCCATTCTGAAAGCCCTGCTTGTGTCATCAACTGCAAGCCCAAGGCCCTGCCCTGTCTCATCCACAATCACAACTTTCCCTGTTAGTAGCTCAAGCAATATCACCCCAAATGAGTACGCATCCCACTTTGGGTTGGGCTTTAGGCTCCGAAGCGACTCCGGTGCATGGTAAGGTGATGTGCCCATGGAACTAGGGCTCGGACTTGGGCCCGGACT